GGTAACTGACACTCTTCATGTTTCTCAGGGACACTGACTATCATGTTAATTAGTCTCCATGGCATCCACATCTCCCTAATGAGAGAGGTGATGAAGGTATGGGATACTTATGCAGAGTCAGAGAAGCATGCAGGGCTCATCCCTATGGTCACTGCCCAGGCAGATGGCTGAGCTGTCTTTCTGACCGGCAAAGGTCTTTGAAGATCCTGCTCACAGAATGACTGGGATCTTAACCTTTTGGATAAAGATGATCACCTGGCAGCGTCTTCTGGGTGCTGGAAAGGGCAGGATGGCCGTATTGGGTAGGTTAGATGAACATCCTGTTCCCTGCATCAAACAGTGTCCAGGTCAAACAGTCCCATGTCACCTTCTCGGTGTTCTGTTCATTCTTTGAAAATACAATGAGAAGGCTCTGAGTGAGAAGACCAACAGACTCTCTTAAGAGTCACTTAAGCTACCTGAATTTACATTTCTACATATTAAAAAGGGGCTAATAATCCTCATCTGCTAGATGGGGCCATCAAGGGCATTATTACCTTCCAACTGCAAGGCATGTATCCCCTTCTCTTTCAGCACTATATTTGAAACCCTAGTGTATATGATTTTAAAAAATCAAATGGTTTATGTTGATTTTCCCCAACTACAAAGATTCTCAGTGAATTTTATTGGAAAAAGAATTTTATTGGAAAAAAGAGGGCAAAGGTGTTTCGAAGAGAAGGGTAAAGCAGAAGGCAAAGTAGGAAAAAATTTTTTTTTGCTTTGGTTTGGTTTAATTTGATTTTTGCTTTTTCTCCCAGTATCAGTCTAAAAGAAAGAAAAACACAGATAGAAAGGCAATATGGGCATGCCAGCCTAGGTCACAATATTCTGACTCCTTCCTTTTTCCTTTCAAGAATCATTTAGTGAATATCTGTCATAGACTCTATTCGATGCAGACCTGTCATTAAGGAGCTTCCAGAGGAAAGGAAGAATTGCGTACATTAGAAAGACAGAGCATTATATTATGGCATGGGGCATAGTTTAGTGAGCGGATGTGTGTGGCACTATGAGAAGCAACCTGAGAGAGTCCAGGAGGCCTGCCTGGAGAAGGAGTCCTTGATGCTGAGCAGTCTGGAACATGGAATGGAGTGACTTGGGTGAACAATGATTCAAGGAGAGGGACAAGGATGGAAAGAGAATATGGCTAGAGAGCGCATATGTGAGTGTGTGCTTATGTACATTTGTATGAATAAATATGTGCATATGTGTATGTGCACGTAAAGGTGTGTGTCTGTGTATGTATGTGAATATGCGCTTATGTATATGCATGTGTGGGTGTAACTACACATATATTTATCTACATGTGGGTGTGTGTATGTTTGTGAATGTGTTCGTATTGTATGCATATGTATCTGCATAGGTGGGTGTGTTATATGAGAACATGGGACAAGGAGAAACTACAAGTGACAAATGCAGAGTCTATAGGGGCCAGCAGATCATGAAATATGGTGAATGTTCCATTAGGAAGCTGGGAGTTTCTATACAAGCTGGAGGACTCAAATTATAACTGAGTCTTAGAAACATTGCCCTGGGGTTAGCAAAAGGCATAAATTTGAGTATTCAAGGACTAATTTGGAAACTTGAAAGAAAATAGAAAGCTGTGCTACTGCTGGTTACTTTCTCTCAGAGACAGTGTGAAGACCAATGGCTCTGTCCTGTTCTTCCAGGGCAGCCCACTGGGTGTGTTGAAGAGAAGGGTACAGTTAGGGGAAGGCCAGGTGACATGAGGTGGGTAGAGAAGGGCAGGCGGGATGTGTCCTTGTGCAGGAAGTAGCAGCCCTGCTTGTGTGTCAGCAAGTGGTGTGGGAGCCGAAAGAAGCCCTGGGAGCTTTCCCAGGATAACAGTACAAGAAAGATGTGGCTCCGATGGGCAGACACTCGTGACCTTTTCGTACCTTCTATAGGAATAGTTTCCTCACAGATCAGGTCAGGACCTCCCTGCAGGCTCTCTGTGATGCTCTATAGTGTGAGCAGAGAGGAGGAGGCAGAACCACAAAGGAGCTGGGAGGGACTGGTCTTGAGACAGAACACTGGGCCCAGAGGGAGCATCTGGCAGAAGCCCCAGGCCATGGAGTACATGCACTGAGCCATGTTCCGCTCACAGCTACTACTGTGCCATAGAGTCCTTGGCACAAAACAAGATTTTCAGACTTTTTCTACACAAGGACCGTGCTGGTTCCCTGCTGGGTTGTTCACCTGGCTTGTGGTAGTCTTCTCCCTGAAAACACCCACTGACTGGCCAGTCTTGAGAGGAGGGGACATGAAGGAGGAAAGGGCTCTAAATGCTTGAAAGAGTCATATGTCATGTCTGTTTCAGCACAGTGATCTTCTTTGTTATGGGATGGGTTGGAGGTAACACTGGATTGAATGGAGAGGTGGATTTTATAGTTGATTTTGAAGCTGCGTGTTTGAATGTTTAGAAGAGAAAAACAGAAGAAAGAATGAAGGAGCCATGTGATTTGCTAATAGACGTGTGTCCTGCTGGATACCCAGGGGACAAGATATGCAAGGCACATTGGACTCTGTGTCTCATGGGTTTGTGGGAAGGTGGACCACAACCACTAGATGAAACAGGGACCCCACAGAGGCCTGCTAGTTCCCATGGACTCAGAAATAGCCCTTAAGTCTCAGTGGCCTCAGCCTTGAGCACTGGCAAGCATCTCATGTGAAGGAAATTGTGTGGCCTACGAGGGTACATGTGCTATCCTTAAATGTTTCAAGTGGCTTTTCTCCTGTGAGTCAAAAGAACATTGTGTAAATTACAGAGTGACAAGATATAAATATAGAATTAATGGTATTGTGTATAGAGAAACATAAAACTTATTCCCATCAAGTTAGATTTTAGACAAATCTCTCTAAAATTGAATGTATGTCTCATAGGACTTTTTAAGGGACCCTTTTTGTCACTTGCGTCTCACCATGGATTGATGAAATATCTGTGGCAGATGTCTTCAGATTTGCATTATCCATCAGTTCCGCTTCCTGCAGGGCAGTAAGCAGAATGCACAACCAAGTTCTGTCCTTTGAGATACCATGAACCAGACAGCAGAGAAACATCAAAGTTGCAACATGCATTTCAAACTCTTGATAATTTAGCCACTTCTCCAGAATCAGAGATTTGTCCCTAAATGCTAAGACATAAAGTTCTATGAATAATGCCTCTAGGCCAGGAGTTCCAGGGTCTGATGGAATCAAGAAGCCTGGTTTGACTGATCTACTTTAGCCAGACATATCTTTAATGCTGAGCTTCTAAGTCAGATGAGCAGATTCTGGCTTTGTTTCTTCATCCTCCTTTGAGGAGATGGACCAAATGTGTGCCTAGCTTTAAATGGTTGTGGTGGTGTTTGTGTGCCATTGAGTTAGTTCTGACTCATAATTACCATGTATAGGGTTTCTGAGGCTGAAAAACTGTATGGGAGCAGAAAGCCCCATCTTTCTCACGTGGAGTAGCTGGTAGATTCAAACTGCTGACCGTGTGGTTAGCAGCCCAACTCCTAACCCACTACACTATCAGGGCTCCATTAACCATAAAAACCTTCATTAAAGTTAATGCTACAGCGCATGCCAAGCCAGACTCAATCTGAGAAGAAGCCCTCACTCATTAGGAATCTAAATTAATGCTACAGCGCATGCCAAGCCAGACTCAATCTGAGAAGAAGCCCTCACTCATTAGGAATCTAAATTATCCAAGATTCCAAACTTGTGTGTGTTTCTCATGAACCACAACTCCATTTGTTTTAGGGGGTTTTAAGCACAAGGATCAAGGTAGCCATAAAACTTACGTTTCAAAACAATAGGGAATCCTTAGGGGATGTTATGTGTGGCACTGTAGGATAAGCACTGGATTGCTAATCATAAGGTTGGCAGTTCAAATCCACCAGCTGCTCTTAGGAAATCCTATACAATTTGAGTAGGAAGCAATTTGATGGCACTTAAGGAGCTCTGGTAGTGTAGTGGTTATGAGTCGGGCTGCCAACCTCAAGGTCAGCAGTTTGAAACTACCAGCAGTTTTACAGGAGACAGATGAGGTGTTCTGCTCCCTTAAAGATTTACAGCCTCAGAAATACTGTGCAGGGTCAGTATGAGTCAGAACCAACTCCATTGTACGTAACAACAACGACATAGTTCTTTTGCCTCCTGTAGTTGGATCCATTGCAGAGTATTTGTCTGCAGGCCAGATTGGTGCGTGCCTCCTAGGGAAATGTATGAAGCATTTCCACCCACAGACACACACCATGGCAGATTCTACATCCTATTATCTATATAAATTTCCAGTTCCTTACACATGCACATCAAATGGCCATCTGCTCATTTACCTGATTCCATCTCTACTCCATGTGGGCTGATGTTGACCTTTCAGGCATGAAAGATAGGTCTGCTGTTACCTCATGTAAATGAAAAAGATGCCGGGCGTTCCAGTTGGAATTGCAGTACCCTTCTCTGAGATACAGTGACTGCAGGCCTGATGCAGCAGCAGACAGCCAGATTGCTTTGTCCAACATGCTGGGCAGCTGGAGGGTGTGCAAATATTTATGGTGGTCAGTGCTCCAAACTGGTTGGGTGATGGTGCAAGCAATTCAGTGTGGTTAATTCATTAAAATGTTACGTAGTATATTCATTTACATGCCACCTTCTTAAATTTGACTCTGACCTATGGTCTTAGCAAGTTAAGACACAGTAAAAGAGTAGTGACCACCAGACACCTTAATTTGAATCTTGGGATCTCATGGTTCCAGGGAAGACTGATCATTCTATAGAGTAAATCCATGTGGCTGCAGCTAGGGGAGTGCATATATAATGCAGCCCCAGATGTATAGGGAGCTGAACCTCCCTCCAAATGCTTCCAGTTAGAGGGATGCCCCATCAGAGTCCAGGTTTGATGGCCACATGTAAGGAGATGAGGTGGGGTTCTCTTCCATGCTCTTGCCAGGTGACTCACCACAGGTGTGTTCTCTCCACAGGCCCAGGCGCAGTCAGTGAGGTAAACAACGGCACGTCAAGGAGGGCTGGCTGCATCTGGCTGTTACCTCTTCTGATTTTGCACTTAGTCCTAAAATTTTGATGTGAGTGTCATTTCCTCAACTCGGGAAGAGCTGCTGCCACTGCAACCACCAACAGAGCAACACCGTCAACACTGACAGCAACAAGAGCATCCCCGTTTTAAAATAAGATGTAATCTAATGAAATTCAGAGAAACAAAGCTTAATGGGACACAAATATGAGGGAGGGAACAAAGAATACTTTGGGAAACAAAGTTAAAAAGGAAATTGAAAATTGCCTTGAAGATATTTAGGTACCACTGAGTTTTCTTTCTTTCCCTACATGGGAAGAATGCACACCCAGGTTTGGACCCACCCGCAAGCTACAGTTTGTGACCTCTTTGAGGCCAGAGTGGGTAAGGGCTCCATCGCTATGCCCACTCAAGTGCCCCACCATGGAAAATTCTGGAGCCGGCCATCCCAAATTCAACCAATCAAAAGAGATGAACAGATCACACGTGCAGGCGCAGATGTACCACAGGAGGCCCTTTTATGGACTGTGCCACCATTGTGTATGTTACAAAATGTAAAAATTTAAAAACACAAAGAAATGGAAACAAAACAAGACAGCCCGACAGCAACAACCATCCCACAAACAGCTATTATAAAAGATATTGTTAAACTTTTTAATTCTCATTTTACTACATGGATATCATGGATAATAAGGGATTCTGATTCATTATTAATTTTATTAATTATATTTCCTGATATGAGTCTAGAACTTAGTGCAAAAACAAGACAAAACTTAAAAAAAAAAAAGGAAAGGGGTGAAAAGAAGTATGTGTGTTAAACATTAAACATGAATAGTCTACTTCTTATCTAGGTTTACAATTGGTGGACCACAACACCGGGCATTAACCCCCCGGGGGGATTGGGCATAGCCACCAAAAGATACATATGATTTAACCAACGTCTCCACCAGCGCTACAGATTTCTCCTTACTCTGGTATTTAATGCAGACAATACTATGCTATCTACATACTGTTTAGAAATGGAAAGAGTGAGCCACACTGTATCTTGAGTTTGTCGGCTATGCTTCATTTGATGACATATATTATACAGTATATATATGCATATATTTTTTTTGTTAGAATTCTAGCCATTTTATTTCTCAGCAGGGTCCTTCCTCAGACATTACTGCATGCTGTATATGGCGTTAGCTGTGTGTTGGTCTTTTAAAAGATGATAGAGTTTACTGGTAATTGTGTAATCAGCTCCTGCCTTTTTATTTTCTTGGGTTATTTACATGTCAGAGACACTTATAAAAAGTGAAAAAAGAAAAAAAAAAAAAAAGAAAACTAATACAAGGCGCAGCATCTCTTTCCAGGTGTGGCTCTAGGAGGTGAAGGCCACCAGATGTGGCCACACCTCCATCCCTCCATCATGCCTTGAGGCATTAACAAGCAGTAAGCAACTGAAAAACTAAATCATCAGTAACTACTTGCTTTAGCCCATTATGGGAATCTCTGATGCCTTTGTGACCACTGGAGAATTTAATCCTCTTGGTTTATTTTATTTAATTTTCCACCTTTGTGTGCGTGTGTATGAAAGAAAAGAACATGCAATTTTTAGGTAACTGTTTCTTCTTCCCCAGAAGTCTGGGAAACAGACAGGCTCCTGGATGTGATGAGGGAAAGTGGAATTGGGGGAGATGGGAGGGAGGGATTGTCTCTGACTTGACATTAAAAAGTGTTCCTTGTCCCTCTTCACCTTGGTGTGGTAACTCATTCTCAAACGGAGGTTAGATATGACGAGAGGATAGCCTACTTAGGTTGGTTTTGAGAACCAGGAAAGGGTTGGGCTTCTATTTCAATTGGTTGTTCTTTAGAGTCCCTCCTTGGTGGGGGTGGGCTAATTCTAGAACATGCGCTCTGATGACAGACAAGAAGGTCAAGAGACTATCATCCTCCTAACAGAAGCATGTGAAGGGTGATTTTGATGGGGACGTCCTCACAAATGCCTTGAAAACTGCAATGGCTGACTGAGGCTGACAGCTTTCCAGCAGCCCCTGCCTGAGCTGAAATACCTTACTTCCTTACCTGGGAAGACTGTCAAGTCCAGGTAGGTCAAAGGCTTTTAGGAGTAAGTATTTCTGGATGCAGCTACTACAAACATAAAAATAACTCTTGGAAATCCAGGTTGATATTGAAGAATTCCATCAACCAGTGTTTTAGGGGTTCGCTCTTCCCTTCATGCTTGCCCTCCCCCGAACATCTCCTAAAGTCACAAATGAAGAAGAAAGATATATTTAATATAAAATAATGTTCAAGTAGGTTCAAATTGCCCTGATTGATTCTAGGAATTAAGTAAGTAGCTAAGAAGCAGACATGAGGTCAGAGCTGAGGCACTTAGGAACCCCTGCTTTGTATCCTCTGGGGTCAACTACACCTTAGAGAATTCTGAAATGTTTGGGAAGAAGCTGTTTCACTTCCAGTTCCTATTAGAGAAACTGAGAAATAATTGTTGACTTCATATTTATTTTCCCTTCTGTCCTAACTACCACCCGCTACCAGATGACCCATGTTTTTCTTGGCAGCACGGTTTGGAACAAAAGTTTTTCCTAGCAACATAATTTGGAACCACCTGGAGACTTTGGTTTCCTTCAAATTGTTGTGGGTGGTGACATTCTCTGGCTTTCCTGTGTATGGCATCTCAAACCCAGTGGTTTAGATAAGCTCATGGCTCCCTGTAACGTGGAGGCGGGGGTGGGGTGGAGGTGGGGGAACCACACAGGTGATGTCCATTTACTAGACAGGAGCTCAGATCCAGCTGAATGCAATGTGCTAAGGCATCTGAAAAGAGTGATAGGGTACTTGGCATTGCTATGACAAGAGACTATAGTAGCGCCCAACCTCCACTCAAACTCATGTTTTTTTTTCTTCAATATCTACCAAGCATACTTTAGACTATTCTATCTATCACTGTTCTCCCAGGAATGACTGGCCAGGTGTGACTAATGTTAGGGGGTAGAATTGCTGAATAGGTCTCAATTTTGCCTATTGGCCAACATAGTCTATCTTACTTTGTGGGTCTTTAGAGTTTTGATTATCCAAGAATATTTTTTCTTGTAGAATCAACTTCACCATGACTTGAAAGGTTCACTAGCATGAAGCCTTCCTATCCTATCTCAAGAGTGGTTTTATCATACCTTCTGCTTAGTGTACAACCTGCACTCCAATCTGTAGATTTTTAATCTTTAAAAAGAGCATCTGGGGTGTCTACAAGAAAGGACATTAATCTGACAGGTCTTCAGCCCAATGTAGAGTTCACCCCAGCAACACATGGTTTTGATAGGGACTTAATGAGAAAAGTCTTCAGTCTCTCTCTTCTCAGAAAAAAAGAACTTAGCAAGAGAGTGTTCGTTGGAGTGGATACTTACTGCCTATAGTTATTAAGATACTATTATTGATGGAAGACTGTTCCTATAACCTTCCATACATGTCAAGTGTGCTGTATCCCAGTGTGTCAGATATAAGTCTCTGTTACACCTTAGAATTCCTTCACTACTCCTACCATTAGAAAGTCATGTGGTGGAACCAAGATTTAGGATTGGCAGTTTCCTATACCATGATACTCCAATAAGATTGTTTTGGATAGGCAAGTCCTAACAACTCTCACCAGGTGCTCCTGCAAAATTCCACTCCTCTTATTTTAACAGAATATCTACTCCTTTCAAACCACAAAAAAGTGCAGTGACTATTAAATTCTTCTACTTGACTTTTTTTCTTCATAAATGCCTCTACCATATGGCTCAGATATCTAATTGGAAGCATTTTGAGTAATCGAGGACTACAAATTGATGTTTCATGAATGTTAGTTGTTGCTGTTGTTTGTGACGGAGGAGGAGGAGGAGGAGAAGAAAATGAAGAGCAGCAGAAGAAAAGGGACCATTATGGTTCTTCATGCTGGAAATAATTTAGAAAACGAATTAACATTAATAGTGGATTAAAGTTTAACACATTTCATTGGACTGATTCCATTTTTATCTTCTACTTCATAGGTCAACCACAAACATTACTATTTGTAGATTTGTTTGGTTAAAATATGCAAAAGGTGGACTCAGTAAACAATTTTCTATTTTTACAATGGTAAGAACTTGAGGACTTACTCAGAGAAGAAAAGTCTAGACAAAAGGAGAAATGAGGAATACTACATAGTCTCGACCCATGCTGATCCCAAAGGTTATATAGTTTATTGGCCAATTGCATATTCATAAAAATAGTGGGGCTAGTGGCACAGGATAGTGTGGCACTGTGGGATAACAACTGGACTGAGAACCACAAGATCAGTGGTTCAAACCCCCAGCTGCTCCTTGGAAACTGTATGTATACAGATTGCTTTGAGAAAGAATCGATTCGACAGCACTTAACAACAATAAAAGTTACATCTGACAGAGAATTGCATTTTGTTACTTTTTTTGTTTTAATTTAAACCAAATCCCAGAACTAATTTGGTTCAGAGCCTGCTCATTACAGTTTGATTGTATTATATTTGCATGTGTCTACTGTTATCCTGTGCTATGGGTCGGAACCGACTCGATGGCACTTAACAACAACAACAACAACAACAACGGTTACCCTGTAAGGAGTCCTGGTGTGGCGCTGTGGGTTAATGTGTCAGACTGCAAAGCTGTTTAAACTGCAAGGTCAGTGGTTCAAGCTCACCAGCTGCTTCTCGGAAATCCTATACAGGGTCGCTATGGGTCAGAACCGACTCGATGGCACTTTACAACAACAACAACACTGTTAGCCTGTAACTGTTCAATCAAGTCATTCTGAAGTATTAATTCTTACCTCTCACTCTCTTCTTAATTCAAACACCACTTCCATGAATCTCAAACTTTACCTGCATCCAAGCCAATAAATGTAAATTTACATTCCCATGATTTGTGAATAATAGATCTCTTGGTCATCTTTGAGATTCCTGTATGCCCACAACTCCATATTGTTTTTGCTGCTGTTGTTGTTTAAGTGCCGTTGAGTTGGTTTGGATTAATAGCAACCCTGTATAGGATTTCTGAGTAGAGGCTGGTGGATTCAAAGCAAAGACCTTGCAGTTAACAGTCCAGTACTTATCCTACAATGCCATATGAGGACCCCGCTACAT